TCCACCAAACGATTTTCATCATTATTTCCTTTAGCACTTTTGCCGCAAAATTCTGTATTCCTGTAGAAAATTTACCACAGCTTCTTCATTACTAGTAAATTCCAGAAGCGCATATTAAAAATCGCGGTTAAGGTAAAAAATATCACAATTTGCTTACATAAACTATTAGAACTTGGAATACAACAAAAAGAACTCGTACAAAAATGGCGACGTTGCTTTGCTGAAGGAATGTTATGAGAATGATTACCAGCATTTGGCACATTCTAAGAATTTGGCCAGTTCAACTAAAGTGGTTGTGATAATAAATAAGTATCTTCTATTTCAATTTGTTTTCATCTCGTATTTTTGATCGAAATTTATTACTAACTTGGCATATTTTTTATTTCTAAATCATTTCTGGATTTAAATTTAAATCTTTTGGGAAATTAGTAATAACATATTTTACTGCAATTTTTATCAAATTATTCTATAGGAATCGATAGAGTTTTCTTTGGAATTTACGCCAAACTATGGCAGAATTTTTGTCTGATTTTGAACTCTACATTCGTTTTCGAATACATGCGTAATAGACAGGCATATTTAAAGTCTTTTAAAACTACTAATGTTTCATTAATTTTCTTAACATTTAGGATTTTTGCTCTGATGTTTAATTGATTATCGCAAAGCATACGGGGGCTATGAACTTAAAGAGAGGAGCGTTTGTGGAAGACATTGCGACGAAAACTCGTTCTTATTTACTTTACATATGGAGAAAACCACAAAACCATATACGCAGTTAACCCATTTGTCGGTATTCGAAACTGGATCGAACTACCAGTGTACAATGCGTTTAACAAGAGCCGACTTGCATTAAAGGTCGGTTAGATTATTTTAATATAGCAAAGCACACAAGCTGCCTAAAGTGTGGGATGCCTTTTTGGGTGACTTTGTAAGAAAAACTGGCTTGTCTTAGCATTGCATATGAGGAAAATTACGAACACCAAACATGCAGCAAGCTCTTTCGCCTGGATTCAAACCGGGGTAGAACTACCAGTTTTCAGTATTCTTAACTCTCATCTACTGATGGGGTACTTGCATAAATATGGCGTCACCTTTATGATGGGTTGTAGAACCGCGACTGTGTTATCGGTGTTTAGCTTCATGCTCAATGTTGTTTATACTTGCTATTTTTTTCCCTCTTTGCTGCAACTTAAATGCCCCACCATCCCACTTTTTTCCTCTCTTTGCTGTACCACCGTACAACATCCTCTTGGCTCAGTAGCTTCTCATTGCAAAAGTGAACAGCTTAGCCATATAGCAGCAATTACGTGATAAACTTTAACAGTTCCTAGAAATATATTCTTGGCAAGGACAGGCAATTAAAACCGTCAACGTAACATAACTAGTTAATACGTACATTTTCCATGTAGACAAGCGACGTCCTTAGCAAAGTAAAATGAAAAGTCAGCAACGAAATTTCACTTAAATAGTATGCCTTTAGTATTGATTAAACGATTAATGTAAAAAAAGGTAATTAAACTGATATGTCAATAATTGCTTCTAGCTGCTTATAGATCAGCAGAATAATAGCATATCTGGAGCTCTTTTTAATAAAGAAAAAAGTTATTGTTGTTGTAATAAATTTATTTCATAAAGGTGAAGCGAGGAAAGCAATAAAAAAAGGCCATACTGTTATTTCATACTAAAAGTCAAAACGTATTTGTTCTTTCATAGCGATGTAGTTTGGTTGCTACTTTTTCAACGCGCAACTGGCCATATAAAAAGAGGTTCTTTTTAAACTTTTTCTATTTGATTAAAATAAACGAAGTAAGCAGGTGTGATTTTTTAAGAAAAAGAGGCTCGTATATGAACGTATTGGAAAATTTTCTCTCTTACTTAAGCCAACCAAAAAAAGGGCTCCTTTAAGTTTTTCTTTGGATGGAAGGGAAAAAAAACTTCTTCGTAATTCAGCTTTTATGTAAAAATTTTACGGCTAAGCATCTTAAATCCTTCTACCTGAAACTTTTTTTAAATATTTTTAAGAATATTTTATTTGCCTTTTCTTTAATAACGATAAATTTCCGTCGGTTGTTTTCATTCAAGTGAATACCCCCTTCATCTTAACCCCCCGAAAGGAAGTCATTCAACGACTGCAAACAGTTTTTGCTGTTTTTAATCCGAATACTTTTGCTAAAAGTTTCTATTTCATATTTGCAACCGGCGATTTAAGTACTTTTTTTTAAATTTTTAAACACAGATTTTCCTGTGTATCTCAAATTATTGCAGAATTTGTGAATTTTTCTAATGTCCTTTATATATATGTATATATACATTGTTCCCCTTTCTTATTCCCCCTTTATCATGACTTTACTAATGGTAGGCTTTCGCAAAAGATTCACTTTTCGTTTTCGTTAAAAGGTAGAATATGCTGAAGTTCGTAAATAAGAAATATAAAAGAAATAAATGACTCTTAGTGCCTCCGCAACGAGAAAAATTTAATCCCTTTATTTAAGATAACAAGCGAAAATAAAATGTATCTAAATCACAATTATTTGAAAAGCAACTTTTCAACATCACCTCATATTGAGGTTTTTCAAAAATGCTCAAGATCCTTGAAAATGCAAATCTTAAGGAAAGAAATATAACCCATATCTTCCCTCAACGAAATACTAACTATGTTTCTATATTCTCGAAATAATACGTCACTTACTCTTTCATTGTCATTAAAATATACAATGTGTGGATAGTAAAATATATTTCTTTCGCTTAAGCAAAAATATTGAATTTTCGGTGCCAACAATTTTGGTATTACTTAAAATACAGCTTAGTTTGAGTAATATGTTATCTTAATTTTTATATAAAAATTTCCTGAATGTATAAACAACACATCAAAAAATGTATGAGTGTGTTTAAGAATGCATTCTCTTTTCTTTCGAATAAAATAGAAAATTGTGCAAATATCGAAAACTGTGATGAAAGTAATAATAATTAATCATTATTGCATAAAACGATAATTAATGATTATGTATTACAATTTTTTTATCAAAATACATCTGCACGGTGGTTTGTTAACTAAAAATCGCGTTTAAGGATAAAAACTTGCTTTGCTCACTTATTCGCCGGTTAGTTGTCGGAATACATATAACCGCCGAGCACTGAATTTCTGTATGTTCTCGAATCCCGGTGAACAGGCGGGCTGCGTGTTTTTGTGATAACATGAATACAAGCTAGCTTCCATCAGAAATTCCAGCACAGCAGTGGCCGAGCAGATAAAATCACTGAACACTGGTAGTTCGATCTGGTTAACGGGTTCCCTAGATGGGAACTTTCGTGGTTTTCGCCATGTGTAACATGAATACGAGATTAGAAATCTGAGATAAAGTCTTCCACAAAGGTAACATTTACTTCAGGTAGTTAGCCTTAGTCAGCTTAACCATTATAAAATTGTGCTATCTAACCCATAAGGTATAAGTGTTATATGCAAAACTGGATCTCATGCATATGTAAAAAATGTAGTAATGTGTAGAAATTCAGATTAATTAAAGCTAACTAGCTCCTGGAAGCATAATATAGAAATAATGTATGAGATAGCTACATTCATAAAACCTACGTAATCACCTCAATAAAATATTATTTACTTAAATAAAATGTGCGGCTACGTTACGACGCATTTGTGACTTCAATAACATAAGCGCCTCCCAACCGGTATGATGGTTAGCAGCGCTGAGCGCTGATTTTGTGTCGAAGGGCCCGGAGAGGGCATGGATGTTTGTAAATGTATAGTGTTGGTGAGGCATGGTGGTACTTTAAATATGCAGCGAGCCAAAAGTCCTCTCGTGTGGTTTGGTGGAAGGGGAGAGGGGTCGGAGACCCTCGGACAAAATTAGTCCAAACTCTCCATCAAAATTAGGGGCGAAACTGAGTAAAATCGCACTGCCACCTGAATGGTGCTCAAGGCTGTTGCCAATGGCAGGCGTATTCTAGCGCTCCTTCCCACGAGGTATTTGGTGGGCTTGGCTGAGTAAGTCAGACAAATGAGCATAAGCAACAACAACAACAACATAAAATACGTGAAATATATTCAAGACTTTATTTTTCTAAAGCAAATTTCATTTCCATACTTTGAAAATATCTTAAAAGGTGATGATGAACTTATATTAAAACATTTCAGTATTTAAATATATGCGTTTTATGATGATGAAATATAAATTTGTAGGATACAGAGGGCAGTATTTAGTCTATAAGGATGATTTACGGTTGCCTTACTAGCGACACTACTTATTGTAGAAGAGTTTAGAAAACAAATTTTAAAGCGCCCATGGAAAAGAATATGTATTTTGAAATCATTAGTTATCTCTACTGAAACTGCATTTCAGCATTCAAAAAAGGATAACTAAGATTTGATGAAGAAACGTCCAAGTTGTGTTTTGATTTTGTTTACCAACGTTTTATACAATTGCAGACAATATGCTCAGCATACTCTACTGCAATTTATGAATATATCAATAAGCTTACAAAAAAACATTAATATAGAATTTCGAGTTAATGAAAGATAGTATATAGCGTTTAAAAACAGCCTTAGAATAAACGTATTACTATTAGAAGAAATAAAATTACCAGTAGTCCTTTAACTATTTATCTGTGCCCATTTACAAAAATAAAGCATTCACAATAAATTAAAAATTATAATGATATTATTTATTTGCTGTATTATTATAGTTTCGATTTGGAAAATGTTGAAGTAACTTAACTTTTGCAAGATTGCAATAATTAAAGTCTGTTTAAACGTTAGTGAACACTTTTGTATTGTGATGAATACTTTCACTTACTTTCACTTTTGTATTGTGATGAATATTTACACTTTTGTATTGTGATGACTATTAACACTTTTGTATTGTGATGACTATTTACACTTTTGTATTGTGATGAATAAGCATACGAACGTATTCGTAGAGTTATGAATACTGCATATGTGTCTTTTAATATATAGCTTATGTACCTTATGCTTGTTTTACAGTGGACTGCTTGGATTCAACGTGCTCAGGACATGGAGCATGCGTGAAAGGTCAATGTCTATGCAAAATTGGATGGCGGGGTATTAATTGCAGTGAAGCTGATGGCAGACTCAGTCGATGTTTTCCAGACTGTTCTTCGCACGGTGTTTTTGATCTGGATACAGAACAATGTATCTGTTTTGATCACTGGACAGGAGCTGACTGCTCTAAAGGTAAGTAATAGCAACATATAACTGTAAGATTTTTTTTTCATAAGCCAGGTAAATACTTTGAAATTATTTGTAAAAAATTAGTAAATTGTATCTGCCCTTTAAACATTCATAGCAACTATCGATCACCAGTTATTTTGCCTTACGATATGAGGTACTTAATCTCACTCACTCAAAACGAGAGTCTGAGTACGTCAAGTCATCAAAATATGGCAAAGTTCACTCTATATATGCTAAATTACGTCACCAAACTACGGACAGTTACCAACATAAAGCATTCAAGTCCCATTAAGAATAAATCATAATAAGTTGGATGCTTAGTGAGCGACAACCTGTATTAGTACCAATAAAATCACGGAACAGCCATCGTGCAGCTTAAGATAGTTTAAACTACTGAAAACTTAGATTCCATAAATTCATCTTGATAAAAGAAAATAGTAGGATTAATGTGCGAGAAATTTGAAAAAATAAAGGGTTTATAGCCTGGCAGGGTTCTGCCTCGGAATAATATAACCCAAGATTTTAAACAGCTTAAATGCTCTCCGTTCAAAATGTGTGTGTGTGTGATTATGGCAAAGCCTCGGGGGCTATCTGCCTAAGGGGAGGGATGCCTTCGTGGAGGACTTTGTAAGGGAACTGGCTCTCGTATACACGTTACACATGGGGAAAACCACGAAAACGCCCATGCAGCCAGCCCGTTCGCGGGATTCGAACCTCGGACCGAACTACCAGTGTTCAGCGACTTTAACGCTCGGCCGCTGGTGGGCCCGTTCAAAATGCTTAAAATACGTTTGCACTACAACAGGAATTGTGCTGCCCCGCATGTTATTTCATATATGTCTTCTGTAAAGAATACGTTTACGTCTTCTAACAACCAAATTCAATTATTGCAATTTTTCTGCATGTGACATGACCTTTCAGCGACATTTTGTAACAAAGGAACACATCTACTGCATTCAGCAATAAATTTTAAATATTAAAATTTGAAACTTCCAAGAAAATATGTGTTTAAAGTCAGTAACATTTAGTGTAATAAATATAGAAACAGGTTAATTACAAGCTTTATATGCCAAGAGACTATATTATAAGTAAGGTAATGGTATAAGTGTTATAAAAATGATTTCTGAACAGTTTAGGGCTGAAAATATTATTTTAAATTGCTCTTAATCGTCAAAAGAAATTAGTTTCTAACAACATTCTTTGCAGCTTCCCACAATCACTAAAACAATTGCCCTGATGAAAACATTGTATCGAACATAATATAGCAGATATTTATTGAAAGAAAATTCTGATTCTTATTCAAAACTCCAAGAAAACACGTTTAAGCAGTAGTGAAGAGAGCTATTAAGGAATAAAAGAATGAAAAATTGATCAGCGTTTTAAAGGCATCGACTTCACAATTACAGAAAGAGATTTTTGTAATCAGATTCCCTACTACATAAACAAGTGAAACACATTTTACACTTATAAGGGTAACGACATTAACTAAAGCACGGATTAACAAACTTTTTCCTGCACCTACCTCTTTTAAAAGAATTCGTTTTTTTTCATTGCCCCCTTTATATTTTCTCAAGACTATACAGAATATCACAAAATCATAACGCAAATAATTGCGCATAAATAACATAAACATAACTATTAGATTAGCAATATGAACAAAATGGTTTATTAGATTTACGTTTAATTATTATTATTATTATTTTCTGGTTTTCTTATTACTTTAAATTTTACAAATATAAACAAGTTTCAGAAACAGAAATCACAGATTTTAATTGAACAAAATTTCAATTTTAATTAATGTGATGGACGCTCTTGATGCATTGATGCAAAGCTTTTAACATTTGGTATAAAACTCTTTTATTTAGTTTTTTAAATCACCTCGTTCCAAATTATTCAACCTGTTTCTTGTTTTCCATTCTAGTTTTGCTTTCTTCTTATTTTTTATTGTTTTTCATTGAGTTCTTGCGTTTTACTCTTTTTATACTGCACTCTATGAAAATTTCACATATTAAAGAAATTAAGTAACTTAAATGTATTTTCCCTTATATTTATTTTGTATGATTTTTTCCCCTTTACTATATGAAACACATTTACATCAATAAGCAATTAATTACCAATTTTATTAATTAAATTTTTCTAATCAACAAGATATGCTGATCAATTGCTGGTGCATATTTAACTGTCGACTCCTAATCGGCTCCCTCATCATCATTAACCTTCTTTACAATTTCATCGACCGCCAGAGGGGTTCATACCGATCTCGCTGGAAACTCTTAATCTAAGGCAATGTCAGGCACTTGTAAACAGTATTTTCGCTGCTAAATATTTAATTCTCCAACACATAGCATCATCACTTAGCATTTCATTGCTTAACACAAGAAATAGGATCCTTGATTGCGAAGTCTGGTATACCCTAGGGATTACTATATGCCATTTTTATTCCCTTCGTGGGTAGTTCGCCCGTCTACTACCCATGTTGTCAACAATTTCTTCAAGAGTAAAATATCGATTCAAGAGTAAAGATACTGATTGGCTTCCCAGACCTCGTCATTTGCACTCGGTGCAGTAGAAAATCGTATGCCGTTCAAGCCCTCCCCAATCTACCATGAGCTCAAATCTACCCCCACTGATGAATGGAATTGATTGCTTTCGGAGATGATCGACGATCTTCTTTATCAGCGTGACTTGCCATTATCAATGCATTTTGGTCGTAAAAGGATGTCAAGTTTCCTATTAGCAAGTTGAATGCATGAACTGAAATATAACATTTGAGATTGTCCGCTTTTATTGTCCTCAGAGTACATTTTTAGCATGTTTATTAGACAGACGTGATTTTCTATAACTGCTCAGAAAGTTTCTTAAAATTTTGGTGATTACTGAATTTTAGCTTTTCATAAAAAGAAGGCAGATTTTGATTTCTAAAATAAGTTAATCTATAACGTAAAAAAATTGTTTTTTTTAATAGCAGTTATTTGTAACATGAAATTTATGTGCTAAATATAAAGCTAACGTTTCATAAACAATCATTTTAAAGTGAATATCTAAGAGTAAATATACAATTATTTTAAGCTGCAATTAATCATGTTTCTAATCATATTTCCTCTAAATATCGCCTTCTTGTCACTATTTCGATGCATTTTAAAAAATCATGCAAATCCATACACTTTCTGTCAGATTTAAAGACGTGCATACATACTTTCTTTGACTAATTTGGCAAAGAATTTATAAAGAAGCGAAACATAAATGTACCGTTTCTGCTTAACCCTTTATCTGTCAAGTTATTTTGATGATTTGGGTACACAAATTGTCAAATTTTTTTATTGGAAAAACCAAATGTAGCCGAAATAAACATCTCCCGATAATATTCGGTATACAATACGATGCACTCAAAAAAAAAATACCCCGAAAAATACTCGGGCGTGACATTTTCGAACACCAGTGCTGTGCCCGAGATAATCTCGGGCATGACATTAAAAGGTTAATAAAGATAAAGAATGTGTAAGATCAAATTCTACATTTATGAGCTTTTCTTTGAGTTTCAGTTTCAATTTAGTTGTTTATATTTTCTATCCTAAAATATAATTGGTTTATTAGTGCATCCCAGTAAATTATCGCGGAAAATCATTCTCAAGTGCATCGTTTCAAAAGGAATTAATTACGAATTTACAAACAGCAAAAGTGAAAGAAATATCTTTTATTCGATAGTAATAAAAAATTGCAAACAAAAACTTTTCGCCAACAAATTGAAACAAAGAGGAACCATAACTTCACTGTTCTAAATGCAGTATCAAAGGTTTAGTCTTTGCATTCTTCTCACGCCTCTCTGCTAAAGTGTTGTTCGCCGTTTGTCTTTTATTGCTAATTACAATTCTCTGAATATATGAAAACAATATAATAATTATGGAATGCCGACGTGAGTTTTGCACCTGTTTAGTTCTGTATGTTTTATGCAAAAATGAAGACATGTTATGTTGGCCATTTCTGAATCATTCGCATAGCATCGAGGTTTCGTTGTTATCATTTATGACAAATACAAAATTTTCATTGCATATACACAGTATTGAAAAAGGGTAAATATGTTTTAGAGACAAGAAGATGCTGTTTAATGTGTTCAAAATAGTTCTAAAACTACAGTACTGCTACAGAGATTAACTATTTTTCTTATGCCTTGAAAACCAGAACAGTAAAAGTTCTGTCGCTCTCTGTTATCACTCTATCAGGCATATTTATGTTCAACAACGTAATAAAAACATAATTATATTATTATTAGGCAGTTTTATGACTAGAATAAAAATTATATTAAGCAACAAAGTGTTTGGAGCATGTTTGCTTCGTTATAGAATATAATTTAAAAGCATGTGTAAGAGCTAAAATAATTTGGGACACTTCTTTTGCTTTTTTTTTACCTTCTGGAAATGATTTGATTTTAATTAAATTTTTCATTTACTTTCCTTCAAACTTTTAAGAAAAAACAAAGTTTGAATACTCAATTAGAATAAGCTTGCATCAGGATGCAAACTTGTTCATATGCATGAAAAAGTTCAGCAGATGATTAAGCAAAGATTAATATCTCAGGACTTTGTAAATCTTTATAACAAAATGCTTATTAAAGCACAAATGTTTTCTTCTTGTATCTAAAATTGCTCTAAATCTCCACTTTTGCAAACTTCGACATTTGTCTTTTTATTAGCATAATTTCTAGAGAGTTCTTAATTTTCATCTAAGAATTTAAATGTGAAGAGAGATTTTATCCATAACGCATAATTTTCTGAAAAACTAAGTAACTGTTTGAAGTGTTTGAATGAATTATTCATTCGGTGTTTTTATCTGGTTTAAAGGATTATTTTCCTGCTAGCTGATTCACTGAATGATGATGAATTTTTAATTTAAAGATGAAAGGTTTAGAAGACAATTTCATCCTTATTATTGGGCTTTGTAACATGCATAATAAAATGAACTTTCTATTCTAAAGCAATATTCTGTTATGCCTAAGGACAACACAT